AAAATCTTTAAAAAAAAAAAAAACACCCCAAATATAATGGAAATGAAATTAAAACAAAAACAAACACAAACAAACAGGTTCCATTGTCCCTCCCCTTGGAAGCTGGCCCCATCCCAGCCCCAGTCAATACTGACAGTGGCCCAGTGGGCACGGGCACTGGAATGCATCATCTGGCGTGGCCAGTAAATGTGTGTGGACAGGCCTTCCTGTTTGACAGAGGGCGGCTTCAGGGCCAGGCGTGGCTCTGGTTCATGTGGTTTCCCACGGTGTGAGGTACAAGATGTGCCAGAAGGGCAACAGGCCAAGGGAGTCTATTAGTGGCCTCAGCAATGTGCAGCTGGGCCCTACCCCCTGGCCGCTAGACTCCAGGCATGGCCTGAGTATGTGTGAAGACCGTACAACCCTTCCCCCCCCAGTGTATTCATGATCATCATCGCTTCTGTCCTCTCTTCTGGTCACAGAGGTGAGGCAAAACTCATGAAGCAACGAAGAATGTCCCTGGCAAAGCCAGAATAGCTGTGTCCTCCTGCAAAGAAGCCAAATGCTGGCAAACAGCAACTAACCTAGAAGCAAAGACCAGTCTTGTTTCTTTATTCTCGCTTCTGAGCCTGATGCAGTTCCAAAAGCTCCAAACTGGGGGAACAAGTTGCGCCCTTGATAAATACAGGGACCACTGTGAGCAGGGAGACTTCCTCACTGTGAACCACCAGCCTGGGATCGGGGTGTCACGGGGGTAGGGGTGGGTAGAGACTTAAAGAATTGTCATAGTTACATCTCTGGCTTATGATATGTTTTCGTTTCCTATGCCACACCCAACACTGTTGTTACAAGTTTTAGTATCATGGAAGATTTGTTCCAGGATAAAATGGAGAAAAGGGCAAATGCAGAGATACCTATTGGCTGCCATTGCTATAACCAGAACATTCTTCCGAACACAAACTGATCCTGTTGCCTTCTTTTACAATTCTTCAGTGGCCCGTGGGGTATCAGGTCCAAATCCCCTTGCAGGATTTAAACCCTTATGTCAGCCCCTATCGTTCAGTTCAGCCTAGTGACCACGAATCGCCACCCGCTTTACACTCCAATCAGGTGAATGACCTGATTGAGTCCCCATGACATGCGCACAACCTTCACTTCTGCCTGGGATGATGTGCCGGGACTTGCTCCTCGAATGGGCTCCTGTTCTTCCCTCCACAGTCACAGTTAGTGGCAGTCCCTCCTCCTTGGCCTTAGCCCCTCTTCGGAGGTCCCGAGCCCTCTGTACTGGCCTCCATGGAGGCAGTGACCGTGTTCACCATCACTGTTTGCATGTCTTGTCTTTGGGAGGACTGTCAATTCCTTGAGGGATGGAGTCTCCTTCTTTGAGTCCTCAGCAATTGGTGGGGGCTCAGTAATGATTTCTGCACTCATGGAGGGAACCTGCCTTCTGAGGTTGCACAGGTGTCCCTTCCAGAGATGGGGTGATTAAAGTGGCCCAGTCTGAGGGTTATGAGGCAGTTTCAGAGCGGGAACTCCCAGTCCAGAGAACGTTCAAGTAAAAAGGACTACATTCAGGACTCATCCAAAGAAAACCACTTCTAAAAGATTTCATCTTCTGGGTGTGCCTGGGTGGCTCAGTCGGTTAGGCGTCTGCCTTCGGCTCAGGGCATGATCCCAGGGTCCTGGGATCAAGTCCTGCAGCGGGCTCCCTGCTCAGCAGGGAGCCTGCTTCTCCCTCTCCCTCTGCGCCCCTCTCCCTGCTCGTGCTCTTTCTTACTCTCTCTCTCAAATAAAATCTTAAAAAAAAAAAAAAAGATTTCAGGGATGCCTGGGTAGCTCAGTTGGTTGTGTCTGCCTTTGGCTCAGGTCATGATCCCAGGGTCCTGGAATCCAGTCCCGCATCGGACTCCTTGCTCAGCAGAGAGCCTGCTTCTCTCTCTGCCTGCCACTCCCCCTACTTGTACTCTGTCTCTCTCTGTCAAATAAATAAATAAAATCTTTAAAAAAAAAAATAAAGATTTCATCTTCTGTATTTCACCTCACGATCAGGGAAGGAATAAATTTAGCCTCTACAACTGCATGATGAAGTGACTCCTACACAAAGCTGTCTTGAGAGTGAATGGTGACAGCAACTGCATCTCTGAAAAGCTTTACGGAGGGCAAAATTCCATGCACGGGGTCATTTCCTAGCCCCAAATGCCTTGAAATTCCAAGGCCATTATTTTCAGTCTACCTCCACCTTAAATCTGCGCATTACCATCCTACTGTAGGGATTTTAGAATTTTGGAATATCTCTCTCTCTCACAAACAGCCATTTTGGCATGGGATTAGATTAAATCGTCTCAGCGGCTCTGACCCAGAGGCCTTCCCGTCTACGGAGGGGCAGGGGGAGGGGCCAGAGGCCTGCAAGCCAGCGCACTAAGTCGGTGGCTGCCCTTGGAGGAGAGATGATTAAACGCTGAGGTACAGTAATCAGGCTGGGATTGTCCCTGCATCTGCTCAGCCCGGCCCTGATTAGCCCTAATCTAGAAGGCGTATGTTTATCTCAGTTTGTATTCTGGGTCATTTCGATTGATTAAGCAACAGGAAGCCCTTCACATTCTACTTTAAGGTTGGAAGTTCTCTTTTTTGTTTTTCCGAGAGACCCTGTACAATCCTAGCAGTATGTCTCTTAGCATTTGTATAGCACTTTTCAAAGCCCTCTTCATCCACTGTGTCTCATCTGGTTTTTGCTAAGACCCTAGAGAGCAGGCAGGGCAGGTGGTCCTCCCTGTCACAAATGATAGGCAAGTTCCTTTGGCAGAAACATGGACTTACCCTAAAGGCACATGTTATAAAGTCCTGAAGATTTAGTACCCTAGTCTCTAGGAGCCCAGTATTTCAAAGCCATAAGAAACCTTAACATTCATTCAGTTTAGTAAATCCCTTTCTTTTTCTTTTTAAACTCAAAAGTAAACAGATAAAAAAGTTATTAAAAAAAAAGTAAACATGGAGCAAGAGAGACTGAGTGGTCTCTGCCCCAAGATGACTGAGTTGTGGCAAAGCCAGGGGTCCAGGCTCTCGATGTGGGAGTCTTTCCATACACCCACCCGCCTGACCATGGAAGACACGCCGGCAGGGACCTGGAAAGTCTCTCTTTGGGCTCATCGCTGCCTCTCCCCTCAGGCTTCCAGGCAAGGTTTACAGAATTGGCCAAACTGGGAAGAGGCCAAAGGTGCCTCCGGAGCCACAGGTCCCAGGCACAAGGATTTCCCTGTCTGACAGCAGTGAGACTAAAATCCCTGGAAGAACTGCTGGCCCTGTAAAAGACAACGAGACCTGACCCTGCTCATTTCTACCCTGCCGGGTGGGTATCACGCACTCAAGCCCACATGGTCAAACACACTCCTCCCAGTCTTCCCCCGGGGCAGCAAGTGGCCATCACATCCCTGCAGTTGCCTTGGCTGAAAACTTCACAGTCATCTTTGACTTCATACGCGGTACATCAGCAAATCCTGTCAACCTGCCCTTCACATATAAACCTGGAGTTCCGCCACTTCTCTTTGCTGCCTCCCTGGACAAAATCCTATCATCTCTTGCCAGGACTACATTTAAAAAAAAAAAAAAATTTTTTTTTTATTAGAGGGAGAGAGACAGCATGTGTGCGGGAGGGAGGCGCAGAGGGAGAGGGAGAGAGAGAACCTTAAGCAGGCTCCATGCCCACAGGGAGCCCCAGCATAGAGCCTGATGTGGGGCTTGACCCCACGACCCCGAGATCATGACCTGAGGTGAAGTCAAGAGTCGGATGCTCAACTGACTGAACCACGCAGGCGTCCCACCAGGACTATGTTTTATCTTCCTTTGTAATCGCCCGGCTTCAGCCCTTGCTCCACTATAGCCGGAGGGATCTTCGAAAATCTCCACATGACACGATGGGTATCAGGACAGCCTCTGAAAATTCAGATGCCTGGGCTAGGTTGGTTCTGATGCAGCTCACACGCTTCAAAGGTTTCCTTTCAAGTCAGATGACCTTCTCAGGGAGGACACGCAGGGAGACTGACCTCCAAGGCGGCCAGGCTTCTACTCAGAGTGCTCCAAGGAGACCCCTGCACAGGGTCTGTTTTCGAGGGACCTGTTCATCTCACCAGGGCCATTATTTCGCACAAGGTGATCGTCTGCCTCTTACGTTTCCCCCCTTTCAGGAGAATCTCGATTTTAACAGATACTTCATTTTGAAAAACAGGTAACACAGAGAGAGCACAGTATAGGGTTGAAAAAAGTCAGTCTCCCTCCCAGAGGTAACTACTGTGGCTAGTTTCTTGGCTGGTCTGTAGTCTACTGAGATTGTGCACTTGGAAACGTGTGTATGTGTGTCTGTGTATCTTCCCCATTTGAACAATGCACCTCGCTTTTTCGGGATCTTTACTTACAAGTATGAACAGAGTGGCTTTATTTTTTTTTTTTTAGTGGCTGCAGAGTATTCCACTTGCATGAAGGTGCTTCATGTTTTTTTCACATCAGACGGGTCATGTGTTGCCGTTGTAACAAGGTCTGAGCGAGGCACACGGCGCACAACAGTGTGAGCGCCCCCATCATCGTGCTTATGAACTACGGAAGGATCTAGAGGTGCTTGATTTTGATTAACCAGTACTCTGATGACTCACACCTTGGCTTTCCAATCTTTTGCTGTTGTGCCAAATGTACTGCAATTTCTCACAAATGCGAGGATAACTACCAAAGAGACAACTTAAGAGGCGATTTATACTTTAAAATTTCCTAGGTGCAGTAATGGGGGAACGCTTAACTGTTCTGCTCAGCCCAGTTCCTTTCAAGACTCAAAATAATCTACCTCTAGTAGTGGGATTTAAGATTAAGTGACAGGGGAATATACTTTTGGACAGACATCTGTCTTCGAGCCTCTCATATCACATTACATGGGTGGCAGATAATGCCATCACCTCATAAGCCCGGTCTCGTCTTCTAATACAAGTGACCATTTGCTCATGTTAAGGGGCTTGGCCTTGTTGTCTGCAGAAGAGGAGGCCATGAGGCTTACAGTGGTCTGTCTCTGATGGTGGCACCAGGGGAGGCTTTGTGGTAGACCATGGGCGCCAATGAGAGTGACTTGGAAGGTTAGGGTCACAGCCTTGCACACTCTGTGAATTTATCATTCATGAGCTGATCTACTCTATTCCTGACCTCTCCTGAGGTAATGAGTTTCATCACTTACCTACTGTATAATGGACCACACACACACATGTGTACGTGTGTATGTGCACATATATGATTTATTTACTTAGGGGAATTCATTTACTTTCCTCAAGACTAACTCTTTTAGTATTCTGTGATTTGATGAATATGTCTACATATCACAGTTAGCTAAATCTTCCTGAAATATCGTTTGGCAATGGCCATCCCATCCCACCAAAAAACCCACAAAACAAAACAAAAAACCCCCAACTTTTGATGGCTGTCTACTATGGGAAAAATAAGTCCAAATAGCTATTGGTTTGAAGGATTACATCAGCCTTTCCCACAAATGCTCTACATTTTCTCTTCATTACAACCATACCTGTCCCCTCACCACCACATATATTGCTCAGGCAGATCCCTCCGCCTAGCACTATCCCCTGTCAATGCAAGTCCCATTCTTCCAACAATTTCCACATCTTTCCTGGAGTCACCCCAGATAGAACAGCCCACCAGGAGGTTCTTTCCCTCCTGTGATTTTCCTCCCTCCACTATTTGGCATCAGCTCTGTGCTAACCTGTTTCCAAGTAGTTATTGTTGTTCTCTGTATAATCTGCTTGCTTAGATTTTGGCAGTAGCCTGAACATAGTAGATGCTTAATAATTAAATATGGCTATAGATCGTGTTCCTCATGATTTTCAGAAACTTGGTCACATTCCTATTAGCCTTGGCCTCCACAGACTGAAGGCCTTGGGACTTTTCACTCTGTTCCCGGGTGCAGTGGGATTTTCACAAGACTCTCAAGGCAGTGTAGCCAAACGCTGTAGGGTGGCTCAGGTGCACTGTGTGTGAGGGTAAAACAGGCTGTTTTATTTCCATGAAAGGCTTGCCAGTCAGACTACACGTGACTCCTGGCTATGCCGCCGAATGGCTTGTGAACTTCGCTTTCCTTAAATGTAAAAAGGGCAGTTACTCATCTCATGGGGCCGTCGAGGGCTAGATGCGCTGATGTAGGCGAAGTCTGGTGCCGTGTACCATAAATGTCAGCTATGTTTCAAAGATGACTCTGAATGAGAGGCTTGATGAAGTCTGGTGGGGTCACAGGCATTCGACCAAAGCTCTCGGCAAACAGAAATGAAAGCAGAGACAGCACAGATCTCCTTTCAGCAGTGATGTGTTCCTGCCAGGAAGCACACCATTCGCCAAAGGCCTTCAGAGATGTAAAGATTAGAGATAAAAGCCACGAAATCAGGGCAGATGGACTGGGGGGCAGGTCCTTTCTGAAACGCAGCGACGGGCCGAACTGGCAGTGTGGCGGGCGCCCGGACGTCTACGGACTAGCTGCCGACTCAGCGCGCTGGTAAATGAATCCAGGCAGAACCACTAACCAATGGTGAGAACGTTAAATATATGGTCAGGGGCAGGAGGATATGACGTCATCACTCTGGTAAATTTCTCAACCCCTCCAGATAGTAACAACATGCGCTTCAGCACAGCAGAGCACAGTTACGCGCCCGGCCATGGTCACCCGGAACCAGACTGCCCTGCCCCCACCCCACCCCGCGACAAGATAGAGCAGGACAGACAGCCTCAGGAAGAATGGGCCTTTCATTTGCCCTCACAATCTGGGAAACCTTTGGGAATTGTTGTTTGCTGTAACTGAATCTTTCAGCCCAAAGGCCTTCCAAGTTGGTCATGGAAATATCTTTAGTTTGGAGAAAAATATTGATGGCTGTGAGAGAAAACTAGCTAAACAAAGAAACTTATCAAATAAACACAACATCTGGTGGGAGAGAAAGAATTTTTTTTAAACATATATTTATTTATTTATTTTAGAGAAGGAGAGTGTGTGTTGGGGGGAGGGCAGAGGAGGGGAGAGGGAGTCCCAAGCAGACTCTGGGCTAAGCGTGGAGCCTGACATGGGGCTTGATCCCATGACCCTGAGACCACGACCAAGAGTCTGATGCCCAACCGACTGCACCACCCAGGCACCCGAAGAGGAAGAATTCTTAAAACCCAAAGGAAAAATTTACAGTATAAAGCCTTCTGCAGTTTATGGATGTGAAAGCTAGCCACAGGTATCAGGAAAATGCTGGCTTAAATGGGGGAACCAGAAAACTGTACCTGGAAAGGATAGGAATAAATAAGTAAGAAATAAAGCTACGAATTATAGTAAGTTCTGCAGTTTTTAAAGAGCCATCAAGCGTTATCTTCAGGTGTTTCAAGGGGTGAGAGGCAGGAGGTAAGTCCTTTAAAGTCTTATTTGCAGGCTTGAAAAAGAATTTACACCAGTGACTGATGTCTAAGGCAAGCCACTATTATATGAAGAAAAATAGGCATTAGGTATGTACTGGTATAGAGATGGAAGAACATGAAAGGAAATCAGGGTAAGAAGCTAGTCAAGTAGGCGGGTGGCAGATAAAGAGGCCGAGAATGACAAACAGGGACCAGATGGAAAGAGGACAGTCGCAGGGCAGAAAGGGGAAGATCATGAAAAGAATGTCAATATCAAATGAAAGGAGATTCAGGGAACCTTACTGATACTAACACAAGGAGGAAACAGAGAAAAAGTATTTCTCTTCCAGTCGTTCTGTTTCTGTTACATTAGCTGCTTCTGGGACATTTAATCTTTCTTTTCCGTGTTTTCTAACTCCATGGCTTTTGGGTGCATTTGAGGGATTTATGGATTAAAATATGTATTACACCTGGCGTGCCGAGTATTCTCAGAAAGCCCAGAGCAGCCTTACAGGTGCCTTGGCATAACAGGCACTTCTTGGCATACGAGGTTTTCTCCCCTCTTGCTAGACAATGTCACCCCTTTCGGAAAAACCACTTTCTGTGATAACTTCCATAGCAGAGATTCTGTCCTTTGCCTGATTTTTCAGACCACCAGGAAATTCCTCTTGCCCTCATCCCATAAGCCAAATGTTAAAAATAAATTCATTTTTACTTTATTAGTAAGTGTACTTCAAAACATATTTTGGAGGTAAAATTTCAGTTTCCTTTTGAAACTATTGGAATGTCCAAGAACATTAATGAAGTCAGGGTTTTGTGCTTCAGAACCACTGTGGTGTACTATCCTGCAGGCTGAGCTCCCAATGTAGGGTTGAACAAGCTGACTCCAAGGCCTGCTGATCTGCCCAATAGGGCTTTAAACTGAAAATGGCAGGAGAGAAAAGTGTTCACCTAAAGTTTGCTCAGGAGGACATCTGATCTGACTGTATAGAGAAGGGCAGGAGATGCCTAGTAAAATCCAGAAGAAATCCCTGGGAAGAAGGGGGACACTCAAGGTCCCCCAAGTCTGTGCACCAGTAGACAGGGTATGAGCAATATGTAAAGTGTTGATTTTTTTTTTTTTAGGATTTTATTTTTAAGTAATCTCTACACTCAACATGGGGATCGAACTTATAACCCCAAGATCAAGAGTCACATGCTCCACTGACTGAGCCAGCCAGGTGTCCCAAAAGTGTTGATATTTTTAAATAGAAAGAAGAAGGGGGTGGGGAGATGGGTAACTGGGTGATGGGCATTAAGGAGGGAACGTGATATAATGAGCACTGGGTGTTATATACAACTGACAAATCCCTGAATTCTACCTCTGAAACTAATAATACACTATATGTTAATTAACTGAATTTAAATTAAATTTAATTTAAAAAATTAGAAAAAAATAAATAGCAGAGCCAAGATGATAGAAACCTTAGGGGAAAGTCACCATGCTAAGAATTTGCAGAAGTCAGACGTAGAAATGAATGCAAGAGCCAATCAGGAGTTACCCAGAGTTAGGAATGGAGATTTATTTATTTTTCTGTCATTATTTTCAGTTTTTTTTTTAATTAGGGAAAATTTCAAATAGGCACAAAAGGAGAGAGACTAGCACAAGGAACCCTGTCCCTGCTGCCCCACGCCGCAAATGTACCCACCATCCAGCCCTCGCTTCTTCTAACCCAACAGGCATAGATTGAGGCACAAAAGCTTCCAAAGATGTTCTACTGTTTTTCAACCCTTCACATTTAGCACAATCTGTAGAGTACTATTTAGAAAGCAAACACTAAAAAAATTCTAAGAGCACATAAAGAGCAGAATTAAATTGGCTTTTGGCAGTAAGACACCTGAAGACAGCAGATTGTAAAGTAGAAATAAATAGTTATGGGGTTTGATAGTCACAGAAAGAAATCTATCTCAATAAACTTCATTTTGTTCAACTGTTTATCCTGCCTTTCCTATCTGGACTGTATATAGCATAACCAAATTGATAATGGGGACAAGTTCTTTACAAAAGAATTTCAGCTTCTGCCAGAAAGGCAGAAGGAATGATAACACTAGAGGAATCTCCATGTTGTTATCTCTGCACAAAATCATCAACGGCTAAGACCATTCAGGTGGCTGGAGGACGGGCCGGAGAGCAGAGGGCTCTGACATCCATGTGG